CAAAAACCCTTGTTCCTTCCTATTATTGCTTATACTCTCTTACAACAAAATTAGAAATAAGGGCAAAATAGTTTCTGCTGGGTATTGAGGGGGTGGAGGGGAGAGGGAGGGGGCGGAGAGGGTGGTAAGGGAGGGGGTGGGGGCAGGGGGGAGAAATGACCAAGCCTTGTATGCACATATGAATAATAAAATTAAAAAAAAAACAACCAAAAAAAATATGTATAGGTTCTTATGCAAACATTATGCCATTTTATATAAGGGAACTGACTATCTGAAGATTTTTGTATCCTGGGGGTTCTGGAACCAGTTCTTCCTCCCCCCCCCACGCCAGGGCTCACAAATAGAGCTATTACTCTAGGGAATGTGAGCAGATGTCCAGATTTTAATTGATAGCAGTGGGAAGAGTGGGAAAAAGCAGTTGATAATGGTACACATGGGCTCAGAGGTTGACAGGCATTATTTCATCCTGACAAGGCCCTCAAAAGTAGGTATATTAAGTAGCATCATCTCCGTATCACAGGTGAGAAAACCTGAGGCCTTAAGCACTGCAGGATGAATGGCTAGTAAGTACTTCAGAGCCAGAGGGCCAAGCCGGTGTCTGATGATACTTTTCACCCTGAGTAAAGGAGGAAGATCCTATAATAATGGTCTAGAAGCTCCAGGAGGAGGAGCAAATGTGGAGCAGGACAGTCCTGAGATGCCAGGTGTTCCTGAGGGAAGTTGTTCTATTACCACAAGTAAATTATTAAAATTCCCCTTTTTGCCCAGCCCATGTGTGAACTACAAACTCATTTATATGCATTTAGGGAATTTATAATCCACTTGCAGAAACAGGGCTAGCATGTGCGCTGCAGAGTGGTGGGAGACAGGGCATAGTTAATTGCTCAATTGCTTGGAGCAAAGCTGGGGTTTTCCCTTCAAGCCAACAAGACCCTGGCACTCTGGCAAGCTTGGAGGGGTGGAGGTGGATTGGCAGCTCACCTGCCTTCTCCCTGGTTCCTCCTACAACTCATCTATCCTCACCCCCACCTGGAGTTCCCTTCCTCCCCCACAAAGGGCTTCTCTGTGTGAGTGCAGAATTCAGCCCCACTTAACTGGCCTCAAACCACCCTGTTTTGAGAGGCGGCTGGGCCTGTCTTCTCAGCTAGATTGGGAGCCTCTTCAGGACAAGGAACTTGTTTTTAGTCTCCCTTCTTTATCTCCATGATGCTGACATCCGTGGTGCTTTGCTGCTTTCATCTCAGTGGGGACAATGGGAGCCAAAGTTCCTAATTTAAGATTCTCCCATGTGTCTACTGGATGCCGACCCCAGGGGGCTTACACTTTTCACAACTCTGTTGGTATGAAACTTGTATATGGGGAACTGACGGTGATGAAGCACTGCATGGTGTGGCCGGATTCTGTCCTCGGGCTTGGGCTTTATCTTTCTTCATCTTGGAGTTGTGGAAAAATGAACCTCAGAGCAATTAAGTGTCTGGGTCATTCTGCTAGTGGTGAAGGGCTGAAGCTAAGATCCATTACCTCTGATCCCACCCCAAGAGTCTAGGAATTTGATGAAGGGCCCAACCCCAGTTAAGTGGGGCTTCGGCCCCATGAAGCCAAGAGAGGCTAAGTGTGCATACTTTGGATCCTCTGGTCTTGGGTTTGGGTCTCAGCTTGATGTCTTCTAGCTGAGTGTCCTTGGTCAAGTCACTTTCCCTCTCTTCTTCATGGTAGGGGGAGGAGATAAAGGGAAATAATAAGAGTAATAAGGATAATGCTTGGAGCAGGGGCTCTGTGGTAGGTGAGATAATGGAGTGGCTAAGGGGCTGGGGAAGGTTTGCTCTCCTGCCATAGGGACTGTTCCAGACAGTGATGACTAATGCAGGACAAGCAAAACAAACTCCTGACATCACTCCCCCACCCCCACATGTCCAGGTTGCGAACCTGGACAAGGTCTACAAGGCCACCCAGGTGGTTTTCTGCCTGTGTGTGAGAGAAGCACCTGTCTGGTGGAGGGAGCCCTCCCACACCCTCCTGAACAATGTGTCTCTGGGGTGACTCAGCCCTGAGAAGTCCAGAGAAGAATCTAAATCCATCCAGATAGCAGGAGCCATAGTGCCCAGGGAGTATGGGGTGTGGTCATGCACCTGGTGGGCAGGTAACCAGACTTAGCCTCTTCTAAGGCCTCAGTTTCCTTGCTGGTGAAAAGGTTCTGTGAGCTTCAAAGGTTACTGTAACAGTGCTGTGACCAGGCAGGTGCTGCTTCTGTTTCTCCTCCCTATAGAGGAAATTATCTCTCCTAGGTTGTTCCACTAGCTTATATTCTTCCCTGATTTAGTCAAACTGTCTTGGGTACACCATGTGTTCCTCTCTTGCACAACTCAGTTAAGTAAGACCTGAGGGTAGGACTGCTAGACAAGAAGCTGCTCCCGGAAGTGCATTTCCTAGACACTTGCAGGTGAACCCCTTTAATCTGTTCCCAGTCCTTGCAGTCAGATTCAAGAGGAAGTGCTATAGGTTACTAATAGGAAGCTCACAGCAGAATGAAGACCAGGCACAGGACTTCTGCCTGTCACTTGCAGGCATGAGGTCCAGAGTGCTGGCTCTTGCATTAGCAGACATGAGTTCCCATCTTTCCTGCTCACCTGCTGTCTCAATGGCTCTAGGGAAGATATTTAAATTCTAGGATGAAGATTCTGCCGAGCTATATGATAACCCATAGTGTTTACTGTATACCAGTCAGTGTCCCAAGGGCCTAACCCATTACAACCTTAAACTTTCACTGCAATGGGGGGTGCTGCCATCATTCTCATTTTCCAGATGAGAACATGAGTCATTGAGAGGTTTCTGTGACTTGTCTATCAGGCTAGTAAATAGCAATGTTGGCATTTGAACATCCTTGGTGATCTGGCTGAAGTCCATGTTCTTAACTGGCTATGCTGCTGCCTTGTCTAAGGCTGCTGTGAGAACTGACAGCAAACAGGTGTGGGAGGTGCAAGGGCCCAGCATCTGCCAGCTGTTGTGCTATGGTACCATTAACCCCAGCAAGGCGCCTAGAAATTCCTCCGGTGGGCCCCTCTTTTGTAACTTTTGCTTCCATGGATCTTCTCTTTCTTGTTTTCACAGGGGATCAAGCTTGAAGAGCAAAGGCCAGGACCCCAGAAGAATAAGGTGGGCTGAGGGCTGAGGTGGTGACCAAGTGGGCTGGGCAAGAGGAGAATTGAATATTCTGGGCTCTTCTCCTGTCTAACTCTGGTTTTCACCAGGAGCCACTACACGACTGCCCTTGTTAGACTCCTGCCTAGTGGGCAGCAAAGGCTCTGGCTCAGTGCCTTGAAGGTAGCTTCTGAGCAGGCCGTGGGTGGAGGCCTCAAGTGTGACCTAAGGATGGAGCCTTGGCCTGGCTTCTCCCCACTCATGCTGTGCATGCACCTGCAGTGTTTAGGGTTGTCAGACTCTGGGTGCCAGTGAGCCATCAGCTCTCAGCTTCAGGTTCTGTTTCGAAGGCCTACCCAAGGGTGAAGCTTATCACTTGAAGATGAGCCCGTTACCTATAGAGGTCTTCTGGGGGATATTAGGGGTCCTCTCCCATTTCAGGATCCTAGGGAGAGAAGCTGCTGTCACTCTGGGTGACAAGAGCAACCCCTTTGTATGCTGTGTCTTCTGCCCATTGCCTTTGCATTCAAATTCTGTCAATTTGGAAATGAGCTCAGTGGATGTACAAATAAGATCCTGGAGCTGCCTCTAGGCTGCTCTTCCATCTAATGTGCTTTCCCCACAATCTTGGTGCAACCTGCTAGATCCTGCAATGCACCCTCCCCAGACCCGGGAGAGGGACACAGAAACAGTGATTTGACTATACAGGTATTGCTGTGGCTAGTGGTGATGTTGTCCTGTTTGTCTTGCAGGATGACTATATCCCGTACCCCAGCATTGATGAGGTAGGAGCTTCCCAGCTGCATTGCAGCCCAATCTGGGTCCCACCCCTCGGGAGGTGATGGCCCTTCCTAGCCCTTCTTGGGAGAGAACCTTGGGCCTGGGACTTGAAGGTCTGAGATCTTTTTCTGTCTTTGTCTGTGACCTTAGCTTTTTTATGTTTAAAATGGGGGCTCCCATCCAGGCCTTGCAACCCTGGGGCAACAGGGTCAGCAAGTGAAGCTGGAGGTTCTTATGGGGCTCAGAGGGGAGATTCATGTTATTGCCCTTGGGCTCATATGCCAGGCTTCCCTCCTTGGAGCAGTTCAGAGGTGGGTGGGGATACCAGTGGACCCCCTCCTTCCCCTGCACTCCCTGCAGCTCTAAAACAGGCTGCAGGGTCAAGACCGTCCTCTGCCTCTAGGTTGTGGAGAAGGGAGGCCCATACCCTCTGGTCATCCTTCCCCAGTTTGGGGGCTATTGGATCGAGGACCCAGAGAACGTGGGCACCCCGACATCACTGGGCAGCAGTATCTGTGAGGAGGAGGAAGAGGACAGCCTCAGCCCCAACACATTTGGCTACAAGCTCGAGTGCAAGGCCGAAGCAAGGGCCTACCGCAGGCACTTCTTAGGGAAGGTGAGGCCCAGAGGTCTGCTGGAAGGGATACACCCAGGGTGGTTGGCTTGGGGTCCTCTCTTCAGGCCTCCTCTGTTGTCTCCTTCCTTGCTGCTTGCCTCTGTCTTAGTTGAAAGGGCTGACTGGAAGTGTCTTGGGAGTGGTGCAGAGTCCCTGTTTGGGGTCTACCCCCAACAAGCATTGTAGGAGGCAATGGAATAGGTAGTGTTTGGGGGTGAAGGAGGGTGGGGTGGAGTTTAACTGCTCAAGGAAAAAGATGGCCTCACACTTTAGACATCTCCATTTACAGCTATACAGTACACATCTCTCATGTCCTCATTCAGGCTTGTCCCCTGATGGGGTGCTGTGAACGTCTGATTGCTTACCAGTGATAAAGTTATATTTCTTTAAATATATTCTGTCCTTTTAGACTTGCTAGATTCCCCAAGTCCGGAAATCTCCAGCCTAAGGCAGCTTTGCAGTTTCACCTGGAGGAGGCTGCATCCAAATCCCCCACTCTAGGGATCTTGTTAAAATGCAGATTCCACTGGCTCCCTTTGGTGGAGATGCTGGGATCCTCCTGGCTTTCTCCCACAAGCAGCCTGGATTGGTGAGGGCTGCCACTACCACCTGGGAGTGAGAAAATGAACTCAGTAGCCAGTGGTGAAGAACTTGAGCTTCAGAGTCCAAATAGATGTGAGGTTGAACCCTTGATCTGTCAGTCACTGGTTGTGTGACCTTTGACAGTTACTTAGCATCTCTGAAGATTGACTACCCCATCTGTGCAATGGTGACGATGGCCTCACTTTTTTCAGAAAGTTGTGGTTAGGGTTAAAGAAGATAATGGGTATTGAGCCCATACTAAGGTACCGGGCACATCTGAAGTACTCAGTGTTTGGTGCTCGTTAATGTTATCACCATAATTAACAACATTATCACCACCACCACTTATGGCAGTGACAACAGTAGCGTTCTCTTCCTTGTTTCTGTAGGCTTCTCCCTCCTGGTGAAGTAGGTGATTGGGTTGGGGAGGGGATGGGTCTGGAGGCTTGCCTCCTCTCCACTCACACCTGGTTTCCATTTCTAGGATCATCTAAACTTTTACTGTACTGGCAGCAGCCTGGGGAACTTGATCCTGTCCATCAAGTGTGAGGAAGCAGAGGGGATTGAGTACCTTCGGATCATTCTCAGGTGGGGCTGTGGCACTGGTGGAGGTCACGCCTCCTCCAGGTGGGGGCTGCCTTCAGTGAGGAGGAAGAGAGGAAATACTAGTCTGACCAGTCTGGTCTGGGTGTGCTGGAGGGACAGACATGCTGGAATCTTGGGGCTGTGTATGAAGTTGCCAGGCACTGTGACTCAGGTGTTTCTGCCAGTTGTCTGATTCTCAAGGTCACCTAGAGCCCATGCCTTGCCTCTCTTTCTTGTGAGGGACCTGAGGAAGCCAGGAAGACAGTGTGGTTCATCAAACGGAGATGCACCTTGGGAGAGGGTTGTCTCTGGTGGTCACTTAGTCAGGAAGGTGAACCCAAAGTGTCTGTTGAGTGTGCTGGGTTCCCAGAGCTAGAGAGTCATTCACAACAGGAGCACCGATTTATAATAGAAGTGGATTATGACCTACTCAAGGGCAGTAACTGGAACTAGTTTCTATTTGGTTCAGCTAACATGCTTTGTAAAACCTCCCTTGAACCACTAGCTGGGATAGGTGCTGGGAACAATTGTGACTGAGACTTGGTCCTGTTTCCTAAAAGCTTATCTTCTAGCAAGTGAGAAAACCAGAGAATTTTATTTGTCACAAGTATTATCTCAGTCATTTGCACAGGATGCTGTGGCAGCCCAAGGGAGTTGTCTTGTTTACCTTTATTACTAGTAGAGAGGCCAGGAAGAGCATGGTTTGGTGCTTAACAGACTTCAGTGAGTCTACTAAGCTCTCAATTCATATTCTTTAATCTAGTTGGAAGTTCTTGCCCCAAATTTTGAGATAAATATGGGAAGGAATAAGGACCTCTAACCCTGCTTTGGGAGAGGTACAAGGGGTGTGGTTTGGGAAAGTCCTTAGCATCCATCCAATCTTGTCATCTTTTTTTTTTTTTTTTTTGATCTGATTATTTTGGAGTTAGGGTCTTGATTTTTGCCCAGGCCAGCCATGACCATGATCCAACTATTTCACTTCTCATATCACTGGGATGACAGGCGTGTATGACCATACCCAGCATTTTCCATGAAGATGGGGTCTTGCTAAATTTTTGCCTGAGCTGATCTTGAACCACAGTCTTCCAGATCTCAGCCTTCCAGGTAGCTAGAATTACAAGGGTGTGCTAGTGGTGCCCAGTTTGCTCTTATTTATGAAGGAAATAAATGTCTTTATGAAGGTTCACCTGGGTATACATAGAATTTTCAAGGAATGCAAGAGTCAATGAAATAGCTAAAGATAATCTTCTGAGGCAGTAATACCTGGACTCCAAATAGGATTTGTACCCAAATGAGCCTCTATAAAGAAAATTGGTAGTGCATGATGGTACACACCTGTTATCTCTGCTGAGGCAGGAGGATCATGAATTCTAGGCCAGCCTAGGCTACAGGAAGTAAGGAAGTAAGCAAGGGAGAGAGGAAAGAAGGAAGGTGCTTTTTTTTTT